TAATTATCCTCTCAAGATCCCTTCTAGTCTAAGTAACTCCTCATGATACTCTTTTGTTTTCTTGTCTGTTAGTCTGAACTGCAGGAACTCTTGCTCTGCTCAGTGAACATTCAAGGGAAAACTTTAATCTGCCCTTAGGAACTGAATACTGTTGTCAGTGAGGCCACTGATTTTATTCAACACTCCTTTGCTAGAACACTGCAAATAAGTAAATGAAAGAATAATTTGTTCCAGATAAATGTGGGGTTTTTTTCTGTATAAATATAGTTCTGCTAAATACCAGCATGTGGGCATAACCATCTGATGATCTACTTCTGTTGGAAAATAAAGTAAATCATAGTAAGCAATGCTATGGCCTGTTTACTATGCCTATGCCTGGATGTTCCTCTGTGTCAGAAATCTTCTCAGCCATCCAGCCCTTCCTAACAGAGGTGCAGAGTTGGTGCTTCTGAGGAGAATTCTTTATTTGTTGTTATTTGGTTTGGGTTTTCATCTTCTGTAACTTATCTGGCAAAAGAGAGGTCTGAGTTTGAAATATGAGAACAGAACAATGTCATTTAGTATGGCTGGAATTTTTATTGGAACAATTGGAATATTATCTCCTCTAAGAACCTGGAACTATTTTATCAGTGTTATAAAATTGTGTGGTACAGCAGCTCCCAACTGTTAAACATCAGTAAGAAATGAGTGAAGACAGAGCAAGCCTTGATGGGAAGTGGGAATGGGAGAGAAGCAGCAGGAACTGTGCCCCTGTACAGAGTATTGTGTGTCTGTGTGATTTAGGGTGAGCATTTTAAGGACTAAGTCCTTCCCCATGGCTTGGATACATTGGAGGCATCCTTGTGTTCCTCATGACTGTAGGATCCAAGAGGAGACAAATTCTTTGATCCTTTAATACAGGGAGTGTTAAATGTTCCCTCTCTTCTCCCCTAGGAGACACAGGAGATCTAAGCTGCAAAACAGATACGGTGTTTACCCTGATTTTTGTCTTTCATAACTTGGGAGAAGACATATCTGGTATTTTTCAGAAAATAGGAGAAAAATACATTTTTTCACAGAACTATCTTTACCAATTACCCTCTCTGCCATTATCTCATGCTAGAGATTTCCTCTATCTGTGTTTTATGCAGAAGTTAAAATATAATTGTTAGCCTGAATTGATTTTGTAGTCTTTTCTGACCCAATATGTCATTAAATACCAGTGCTAGAGGATTAAAAAAATATGAAGGTCCTCATCTAACCCAGGTGTTTCAGGAATCCATTTGGAATTTCACTTTATTTTATATTTGCATGGATTTCAGGACTATAGGAATGCTTGCAATGAAGCTCATTCTCTCCTCATTCAGAGGCAGTATAGTGTTTATTATTTGGGATTGGTAGTTATGACTGTTAAGAAGACTTGGTACAAATATGAGTAAATACAGAGTATCAGAATTACTTAACACCCAAGAGCTTTACAACTAGGGAAAATGAAGATTCACTGTTTGAAGTGTTTATTGTTTGAAATAAAGATATTTATAATGATATGCTATCTAGATCTGATTTACATTGATTCTATTTATAGCCTGCAAATTGTTGCACTGTCATCATTGTTCACAAAGGTAGTGATGTTAAATTCAAAGCAGTTACAATTCCTGGATGATTTTATTATCTGGTTTCAGTAAACTGGTGTAACTACACATACCTTGATAGATGTACTTTAAATGTGGAACTGTTGGAATTTTATCCCAAAATGTCTCCAGCTTATCAGCTTTAAATAGGATCATTTTGTCATGTTTCAGATCATTTAAAACCTTGTTTAGCCTTATACACCTAATTAAACTTCTTAAATAAACTACTTGTTTTAATTGCTTTTAAGTATTTAGTGCCATACTTAATTCAAAATGAAAATAACTCCTAATAACATCTCTTGAAACTGCCTGCTCCATCTTTTAAGTATCTCTTCAGGTCTGCTTAAGCTTATTCTTTGAGAGAGAATTGCCATTGAAGGTGTCTAAAGAAGGGAAATCAAGAAAACTTTCTTGACCTCTGCAGTTCAACTTTTATAGAATCACTAGCAGCCTAACTTTTTTTGTGGTGTAAATGCATTTCTAGCCTCCTAAACAAGGGTGACATAAATTTTCATTATGGTAGTAGAAAGTTAATTTATTTGTTGGAATTGTGATCTTGAAATCCTGTACATAATAAAGTTGTCCAGTGTGTGCAATATGCAGGAAATAGCAAACTTCAATTAATTCCTAGATAAAATTAGCATGCATTGCACTTCAAGGATTTGTCTTTGTTTTGTTCTCTAATCAAAATTTCAGTTAATTTCAGCTTTGTTCTCTGCCTCCCCCACATTAGTTCCATTGTCTTGATTTGCATCATTTGTGGCAGCTGGTGTCTTTTCAATCTGTAGTTTAGACCTTTACATCAAACAGTAAATTAATTAGAGGAAAAGAAATCCCAGTTGTACTTCTTGATAATTGTGGAAGCCTCTAAGCATAGAAGTGAATGTTGCTGAAGCCTTTCAGAGATGAGAAGCGTAACATGGAGGCAGATGATGCTTCACCTTTAGTGAACCAATAGCTGTCTCTAGAAATAGGTGTTGGACACTTACCTGTGCCTTTCCTTTCCTAGTCACTCTCTGTCATTTGTTATGAACTTAAACTAGAAAAAAAAAAATAGCAATTTTAAAAAATAGCATTAGATGTGGGTTTTTTTACAGGATGCATGGCCTTAATGCATCATAAAATGCAGATGAATCCTAAATGTTACTTTATTTTTCTCTTTACCACAGCTGAAAAACATAACCAAAACTACTTGAATTCATTCTGTTACAATTTGTGAACTAATTTTCTTCCTATAAAGAGAAATCAAGTGACCCTTTTACAGTCAAGCAACTAGAAAAAAAGGCTCAGAAGATTCTCATAGATACAGACTGTCAAGGTACATGGAGAGTTTAGACCTTGGTTTGTGTTTTTGGCAACAATAAGTATCTTAGTGTTTTGTCAAATTGCTGCACTGTGCTAAATTCCTTTTTCTTCTCTTAATAGCCATTAGTAATAGTAAGGAAATTAAGACTGATTTTAGCATTTTGCTGCACTTACATTGTTCCCTTTAAAAAGCCAAGACAACAAAACAGCTTTGGAACCACATTAGTTACTGTGGTGGGGAAATAGGCAAAGCAAGTGGAGGTGAGGGAGGCGTTGCACATTACAAACCTGAAGGAAGTCTGCTCAACTTACAGTGAAATAATCTATGGAAATGATGGCCTACTGCAGTCTAATTTATTTGCTATCTTCTATTGCTTATTTCTCCCATTTTTGTTTCTTTCTTGAGCAAATACATACGATTTCCTTGCCTATCTGTTCAAGATGTGTGTCATCTCTGACTTTCTGATGTTTTTTGCTGTCTTTAGCTGAACTATCTCATGTAGTTCATCTTTTCAATAGTGTGCAGATCACAAAAGAAGGTAATACCTTGCCTAGCTCTGCAGAGAATATTGAATTTGGTTAGATACAGTGTCTGTTTTGTAGCAATATCTTTCCTCATTTTCCAAACCGTATTGTTAGCACAGTTTAAGAGCTCAGTCCAGCATTTTTCCAAGGTCATTTTGAACATCCTGCTGTGATTCTGATTCTTTTATATTTGTCTCCAGTTTTGAGCTGAATATGAAATTTAGTGGTTTAGCTTTTGAATAGGAAATTTAATTTACAACTTGTCAGTTTGTTTACAAAGCTGATACCACTCTGAAGGATTCTCCTAAATATATATGAGGGTTCTCTCTTTTGTCCTCTGTTCATTTCTTTTTTCCTGTGAAGCAGGGAATTACAGAAATCATTTCATAAATCAGAGTTCATAGTTGGCCCTGCTGCCTGTATCCTCCTGGCTTTCTAGGCAGTGCAGGCTGGATGGGAGGGCAGGTGAGTGGTGGATGTACATGCAGGGTATCCAGCCAGGAATCTCTTGCCTTCCCTTGGCATCCTTGCTCTTTGTCAGCCCACAAAGCTCGAGTTCATTGACAAAACTTGAGTAACAGTTTGTGGAAATCTGAGGATCCTTTTACTATTATTTTTTTGTTTGCTTGTTTTAGTAGGAAACCTCTTACATTTCATCATATTTCTTTCTATACATATTTCCAGGTACACATTTTTCTGTCTGTTTTATGGTGAGTGGGTTTTGTGTAATCTTTGAAATGTTTGTCATGAATCAGCTATCGTGGGCTTTGAAACAAGTGTTTAACTTGCAAGGGACTTGATACTCTTTAATCCTGTGTCAAATAGTCCAAAATGACAGAGAGTCTGCAGGACAGCAGGTTATAGCATGAATTACAATTATTAAATGCATTTGGAGTTGTCTCTAACTGTAATAATGACACAATATATAAACCAAGAAAACTTTGGATACAGTAAAATCACTTAAAATATTGAGTCCCACATGAGGTCTTGTTTTCAATCTTTAGCTCTGACAGCTGAGATTTGCTTTGGAGATTCTACATAACAGAAACTAAACTTTTTCTTGACTAAATGTCAACCTTCCTTCTTTTTGAATGTGATCCAAGTTTGAATAAACCTATTCTCTGTCTTCAAGAGAAGTCTGCTCAGTAGTTTTTTGGGCTGGATAATCTGGGTGAGACTGGCAGACTTGTGAAGCTACTGCTATAGAAAACCAAACTGAGATATGATGGCACTTACATACATACAAAAATATTTGGGAAATTTTTAAGCATGGCGTGATAACATGGAGTTCATAATTTGTCACTTTATACTTCCCCTGGAGTCCACAGATATTTTATTCTTGTAGCTGTAATGGCCAAACAACCTTGCTAACACAAATGGAAGTTCTGAGACGTATTAATAAATGAGAGACATAATAGTAAAATGACTGTTTATATATGGAAGCGGATTCTTTGGAATTTAAAACTTGTAGAAAGGAAATAAACAATATATTTTTGCTTTGGCAGGCTTAGTGTACTCTTAGCATGTGATTTCATGGATCCTTAATATTTTTAATTGCAGGTAATGAATTTGGACACCCAGAATGGCTTGACTTCCCCAGAATAGGGAATAATGAGAGCTACCACTATGCCAGAAGACAGTTTAATCTTACTGAGGATGATCTTCTTCGCTATAAATTCCTAAATGCCTTTGATAGAGATATGAATAAATTGGAGGAAAGATTTGGCTGGCTTGCATCTCCCCCGGTAAGATGTATATAGAAAATGTTAACTTTTAGTCACCAGTTGGGTACACATGTAGAGTAACAACATTTCCAAATTTAAGTGCTGAAATTTCAAACAGCATTTTTTTATGCGCCTCTGCATATATTTCATGTTGTCAAAACATGGCACTGAATTATCTTCCATGGCTAACAGAGACCTGAAACCTCCTTTTAGCTTCATAACAAAGTCCTTTCCTATTATTTTTCCCTCTTTTTACTGAGTATCTGTGGATTGGATAAAGCAAACTATAAAATTATCCGTAATCAAATCCAAGGAATGCTCTGAAAAAGTATAAGTTGTTCTGACATTACATTTTATAAAAATATTTACTCCATTTCTGAGGAACAACTTTCAGCATATCTAATGTAAGTTATAGTCTCCTACTCCTCAACCTGCTGCTTCTGCATTTCCATTTTTACACTAGTATCCCACTGTAATTTTTATGAAAGAAAATAATTGTTTTCATTTCTCAGTGTTTAATTATTTCTTACTAGCCCACTTTAAAGAATTTTTTTTAATTGATGTCTAGATATTTATTGATGGCTTTACCAAGTAAAACAAAGGTGGTATGTGCAGTCATTTATTGTGGCTTATCAAAGCTGTTTCTCATGCAGAATTCTAAAAAAAAAAACCAGAAAAAATATATTGAATGCTTCATTTTCTGAATTAATAATAATGTATATGTGATGCAGATCCCCATAACAAATAGGCTGAAGATTTAATTTGACAAAAATAATCCATTTTTTACTAAAGGAAAGTGTGATGGAAAGACCATGTTATCAATCTTTGAGCAAGAATTTTTCAAGTTCTTTATGCTGAACAGGCTTCAACCTCTGAAATTTTACATTTCTTTGTAAAAAGAAAGCTACAGTTTAGTAATCAAAAACATTATATGACATTTCATAGATAAACAATTTCAGTTTGCATGTTAATTCCTTTATTTCTGTTGCTGGAATATTTATTTACCTGTATTACTTCAAATGAGGTACAGAAGCAGTAGGGTTTTTCTTGGTTTTGTTAATTCATTGTTAGAAATTAAATATTTTTTAAGTGTTGATATTTTTCTTTTCCCCCTAGGCCTATGTGAGTGAAAAGCATGAATCCAATAAGGTCATAGCATTTGAAAGAGCAGGTCTTATTTTTATTTTTAATTTCCATCCATACCAAAGTTATGTGGACTACAGAGTGGGTATTGAAACTCCGGGAAAATATCCTTTTACTGTTCCATTTGTGGGGAAAAGTTTTAGAAATTGAAAGCTGATTTTGTCTTTTTTTCCTAATATGAATTCAACCTGTAGTTAAAAGGTAAGAAATCACTTGTCACCAATATAATGTTGCTTTAATTTTTTGTGTACAGCTAAAAAAATAATCTATAACTTTGTCTTCTTCATAAGAGAGAATTTTGTAGAAAGCAAAAGTTAAAAAAAAATGCAATTTGAAGACTTGTGAAGCTGTTTTTTGGAATTCTGTTGAGGAATGGAAAAGGAAGTAACTCCCACTTAAATACATGACAGAAAACCACCACAGGGGGATGATGCTGCATGGAGTCATGCAGGAAGGTGCCTTAGTGCAAACCTTCATCAGGGAGTTTGTATTTATACATCTCTAAAACTGAGTGGACTGGGAATGTGCTCTTAGATCTGCTCAAGCAGAAAAAAAATGTAATGGGAAAGAGTGCTTTATTTATTTTACATATTGCTATTTTTGCATAATGTGTGTCATTACAGTCCCAGAGTGAATGAAGACCAGAGTGGCATGAATTTAGGGTTCATAAGGACATTCAGGTACTCATCTTTTCTCCCTGGTGACCAGTGACAGGACCTGAGGGGATGGTATGAAGCTGTGTCAGGTTTAGGTTGGATATTAGGGAAAAGTTCTTTGCCCAGGAGGTGGTTGGGCACTGGAGCAGGATCCCCAAGGCAGTGGTTGCAGCACACTAAACGTGACAGAGATCAGGAGCATTTGGACAGTGCTTTCAGGCAAATATAATCCTTGGGGCTGTCTTGTGCTGGACCAAGAGCTGGACTTGGATCCTAGTGGCTCTCTTCCAACTCAAGACATTCTATGATTTGTAGCCAGAGTTGTCCATAAGCAAAGAGCTAGATTCAGCCTGAGGAATCACAAATATTGTCACCAAAATGCTGCAAAAAATACACTTTTTTTTTAAGAATCCCCACATTAATTCAGGCTCTCTGACATTTACAATGTTCACCCAGAGCTTCTAATGAGCAAGTAAGGTCATTTAAATGAGTCACTGGCGTGCAATGGCTGAAGGCAAAGACGCCACTTTGAAGTGCAGTAACTGTCCCTGCCTGGTAAAACAAAGGACTTAATTTAGGATCAGTCAAATGCTAAATTCCATCAAGGTAGTTGATACTTAAGGTTAATAGGTGTGAATAGGAAATACAGCATACTAATGTGGGTTGATCTGCATGGGAGAAGATGGAGGTTTGCATCACCATGAATCTTTGTAAGTATGTGGCATATCCTAGTGCCCAGTTTTTGAGTTGTTATGTGAAGGAAAAAGAAAAACATTTCTGTGCTTATGCTGGAATTTTACTTCATAAATTATTCCCTTTCAGAAGCCTTTTCATGAGAAAGGCAGCTTGAACTAACAAATTATTTCTGCCTAATTTGCTTCAGTTTTGAGGTAGATGAACAATCAACGTCTAGGTCAGCTGTCTCTAGTCTTCTGATTGTAGATAAAACTTTGAATGTTAATGGAGAAACCATTCATAAGTTTCCAATTTTATGTTTTTAATACTTCCTAGGCCTTTCTGTGGAGTAGTGCTTGAATTTCAAGGCCAGTCTGCAGTGAAAATTCAATATGGAAACCTTTCCTCTGTTCAATGGGAACATGGTAAAGGATGGAGAGAGAACAGGCAAAGGGCTTAAAGATTTCAGGAATTACTCCTTTTCCTGCCTTGAGATTCCACACTTGATTTTGTTTAATTATTTTTCATCAGTGTTGGAAGTCTCATTAAAATTAAGCTATATGTGTATATCCCTCCTGTTTTTAACTAGCAAGGTTTATTATCTTGGCTCAAAAGTAAATCTGCATTTTATGTTTATAATTACCAACCAACACGAATTGACATATCTGTAAATTTGCATGTGGTTTAAACAAAAATCATATTTGGCAGAAGCAAAAAGGGACAGTACCCCCCTTCCCTCTCAGTATTTGTGCGTGTGTTGTATTTTTAAATGGCTTCAACTGCCATTGAAATATCCTGAGCTGAGTTTTATTGGTGTTTTACTTCATTACAAAATTTACCCAAATACTTTCCATATGCTTTTCATCACATCTAGGTTGATTCCTTAGTCTTTGAAATTAGCAGTGTGTGGAGAGGAGCAAAAGTGATATCCTTCATCTTGAAATTGGCTATGCTAGTTTTTTCAGTGAAATTCAAGAATTATTAAAAGCAAAATGGCCTAACCTCTTAAGACTCTAGCACCCCCACAAGCACTACTTGGTTTCTTTTATTAGCAGTAACTGTTGGAATAAAATTCAAATTATCCTATTTTATGATTTGCATTTGCTTTGCAAATGTGTCACTAAACATGAAGAAGATTAAATTTTAAAATTGTGTTAAAATATGTATTTCAAAACATTATAAAAGCATAGTAACTCAGTAATTAATGTGGTAGATAATGTGTCAGTTTTTCAATTTTCAGCTCTATCTATACAAGGATTCATTACTTTTGCTGCTCTCCTCCCTTGTAGTGGGTGGGAAATTTAGTTGGAGCACCACACAGAAATTAGGCTTTTCTTTTTTTTTTCCAGTGAGACTACAGACTAGTATTTCCAACACTGTCACAGAAACAAAACAGACATCACTGCATAAAAAAAAAAACTTCTATTATATACTTCATTAAAAAGCACATCTATTGTTTAATGTTTTTGTGAAAGTAATCTTCAGAAAACTAGATGCTTGTAAAATTCTGAAATGTGAAAACTTTTTTATGAGGCTTTAAGTTGGAAGGTAAATGCACATGTTCAGCAAACTAGTTCTTTTTCCCTGATCTGTGAAGATCTTAAAATTCTTTTGTGACCCCATTATTCAGAATGTGGTTAACAGTATTTATACAAAATATGCTATCTGTGTGTGATGACATGGTGATACTAACTTCAGCACTGCTCTCTGGCAATACAGACATGATTTTATGGATTGTTTTTCAAACAGCATAGCCATAACAATGGCATTTGCTGTAAATAGTTTTGAGAGAATCACTAAACATGTCAGGGCTTTTAACAACATTGATAACTTGTTACATTTAATGTATAGTTCAGATCACTGAAGCAAGGTGTGAAATGTTTGATGGAGGCATTCTCTTGCCATGCTAATAAAATTTGTAGTGGAATAATAGCAGACATTGCTGCAGGTGAAGGGACACTGAAGAGAGTGACTGGATCTTGTGGTTTGTGGCTTTACCTGTTGTACGTGACGACAAATCAATGGTAATTTGATGGAGTTTATAAAAGAAAGGAGGGGAGAGGTGTGTGTGGTGTGCACATGAAAACCTTTGTCGACTAAAGCTGGCAAAGTATAATTTTCCAAACTATTTTAATAAGGAAAGATAACAAATATGAAGATTTTGCTGGAGAATATGGTGTCTTTGTGCACGTGCCCTGTAGAACTGAACAACTAGGCAGTTTTGGACCATTCTCTCATTTTGCTGCAAACACTTGTGGGGAAGGGTTTAGCTACCATTTGTGATCTGGGAGCTAATTGGCATCTTTGCTGTTTTCCTTATGTGCATTTACTTTTCTTCATTGCAATCTTCAAGACTGAAGTGTCTCAGAGTAAGTTTGTGGTTAATTCTGTGTGATGACATGCTTCAGCCTTCCTTGTCACCAGAGATTTCAGTCAGCAGGGCAGGTGCTTGGGAAATTTCCCACCTCATCTGATGGAGTTATGTAAAGAGACTTGAAAACAATTCTGTTTATACCACAATCCTTCAGGCTTGTTTTCAAAAGGTTGGCAAACACAAAAGCCTAAGAACAGTTTAAGAACACTTTTTTGAAGGAGTGTTGCTTCGCTCATCCCTAATCCTATTAAATACAAGCTCTAGGAAATTAAGATTCTTCCATGGCATAGAATAGAGGAAACAGATTGTGGATTATAAAGCATTGTTATTTCCCTCTCTTTTTTGGGTTGTGGGGAGTGGATATAGCTTTCCATTGTCACTTCAGGAGGGAAAAAGATGCTTTAATTATGTCCAATCAAGAAAATACAAGGTACTCAAATAATAATAAAAAAAAAATATTGTGCTTGTCCCTAATAAGCAGAAGTTGACTTTTGAATATGAGTTAGCTCTTTATTTATTTGTTTATTTATCTTTATTATCTTTATTTTATTATCTTTATTTATGCTTTCTGACTTTGTTTCAACTTTATTTCATCTTTTATTTTTTGCTAAATCAGTTTGAATCTTTTTAAGTATCTACAGGTATTCCAACTCACTGCTACACTTTGTTAAATAATTCACCCCATTTTAACAACTGCAGTCAGAATATTTGTATCTTAAAAAGCCTTCTCTTACAATATGTTCTTTCTTTTGTTCCTCTCTGCTATAATAATTTCAGCTCTTTTCCAGAAGACTCTCAGAGGAGTTGTGGGGTTCTCTTCTTTATAATTACATGTTTTTCTCATTGACACTTGTTCAAATTCTGGCAGACTGTAAAATATTGCTAAATACCAATTGATTTTGATGGTTACAATTATGTTACTTCTTAAATGCAATTCAAATGCATTGTTTTGTTTAGTGGTACATTTTTAGTCTAGTTCATCACCTAAAGTGCTGTGTATATCTGCTGTAATGCTATAAACTTATCATTCGTGGCAGACTGCAGAAGAGACTGGGAGGTACTTGCTTTAACAGGAGTCACTGTGCTAAAATTAAATTTTCAGGGCAGATCTTCATATGACTTCTATATGTTCTGTATGTTTTTCCATTATTTCCTTAGATTTTGTTATAATTTTTGCTTTATGTTGAATATATCAGCATGCTTCCATTACTGCATTATTTCCATTCCTAGTTTTTCTAGGTTTTTTTTGATTCTTTTCTGTTTAAGAGGTAATTGGCATAGTTCCTTAACAGTTGCCTTTAAGTATAAAATCCTTCTGGATTCTGATGCTGGAGAATATGGAGGGCATCAAAGGCTGGACCACAATACAGAGTACTTCTCTGAAGAATATCCTCACAATTATCGACCTAATTCAATTATGGTAAGTAAATTGTTTGGAGGTTTGTTTGTTTGTTTCAATTTTACTTTCATCTGTGTAAGTTTTGCAATTCTTTGGACAAATATGGAGTCTCTTCTAGTATTTGGGGGAAGGGGAAATTTTTAATTTATTTTCTGAAATTAACCTTTGTCTAAATACAGTATAGATAACATTATGGTTTTATTATAACCAATAATGCCAGCTAATTTTTCTCTTTAAACCTTTCTTTTATATTTTCATGCACTTTTTGCAGTGTCTGGCACACAGTGTTTCTTGCCAACATGCATGAAAACCTACTAATATGCTTTTGAGTTGCTATCCTTGATATTATAATTTGCTTCATTTTCATATTGAGAAACTGCATCTTCATGCTTGCTTTGTTTAAAGCTCTGCAGAAACTGAATCTTCTTTTTCTGTCTTGAAATCGTGTGCTTAACTCTACAAACATGGATTAGAACCAATTGAGCCAAACTGGCATTTTCCTCCTTAGTTTACAGAAAAACTTTGCAAAATGGAACAGGATTTCTGTTCACATCAAGAGGTTCAAGGATTTCCAGTCCTAAACTGATATGCATAATGGATAAAGAGTTTCCCAGAAATCACTTGGAATTAACTGGGAGACATATCCTTGCATACAATTTCTGTTAGCTGAGGTGGTCACTAATAAAACTCTGCCTTTCTTAATTGCTCTTGAAATCAGAATCATCATAATTAGCAATTTTAAAATGTAATTTTTCCTAATCTTTATGTATGTATATGTGTGTATGTGCACATATTCCCCATTCTTTCTATATGCATTCTCATGTATATGCTCACAAGCACAAGAGAATAAGATTCAGAAAGGCTGGGATTTAAGGCAAGAGTTCACTGAAAGAAATCTGAAATCACTTATATTGCTGAGTAGATTTTTACACCTAAAACATTTATGTGGGTGAAGGGTGTGTTTCTCTGTGCACAGGTATGTTGGTAAATGTGAACACCTGCAAATAAGTTACATTTGTAACCTTAAGAGCCTGCAAAAATGGAGCATCTGCACTGATTTGTGTGAGCCACTCCTCTTCCATGGCTGAACAGAGCATGAATTTTTAGTGTCACAACTTTTCTGATGAAGTCTAAACTCCTGAGAGTTATTGTCACTTCTAACCTCTCTCTCTCTTTCTTTCATTGTATCCTGAGTATTGGCATTTCTTTCATTTGCATGGTTTAAAATATTTTCACTACGTGAAAGAATTTTTTGTGCTTTCATCATGCTTGGTGTAAAGGATCTTAGGAGTGGGATTTGGGTTGGTTTTTTTGTTTTTAAAGTATCTGCATGTGACAGTGCCTTCACAGCATGGGTAAGTATTCGTGCTAATTTGAAATGAAAGGTCTAAGATTTCATTCCTGAGGGTTATGTCGCAAATTACTGCTTCCAGAGTTCTTGCTTCGTGTGCCCAATTCAAATACATTGCCTGGGTGATTGGAGAGCATCTTAATTATCTATCACTAACTTAACTTTTGCAAGCCAATTAACTGTAATTTGGAATGTGTATTTCACATTTAGTCCATTAGATTTAGTCCAAAGCTGCGGTTTGCTAGGAGAATGCGGAAGATAAAGCACGTGACAAGCACAGCAGCATAAGCTGTGGCATGGCAATTGCACCTCTAGGTTAGAAAAGAAACCCAGGTAAACTTTCTCTTATGTCCTTCTGCCACCCAATTCGCAGAACACCTCCAGCCAGCCCCCCAGAAGATGTCACATGCACCAAGTAAAGGTAAAGTACCAGTGAAAGGAAACCAAGTAAAAGCAATCGCGAAAAAAATCTGGAAAACCAGAATTCAGCAAATAGATCTTCACGCAAGAAAGAACAAAAGTTACACTAAATGCCTCCAGCTGCTATTTTGCAGTAAAACAAAGATGTTTTCTTTCAAATAGCTATTTGTATCCAAGTTATTGGGTAATTTGTCCTGCTTAGGAATGTCTTTAGTCTTTATTGCAGTTTCTAAAATCTAACTCAAAAGTCTTCCCACCAAATTCTTTTCAAATATCGTATGATGGCACCCTAATAAACTCATGAAAGTTATTTTCCTGTTGTTTAATAATAATTCATAATGCATGAGACTTTAGTTTCTTGTTTCAAAAATTCTAGTTTCTTTTCCACTGCAAACTTTGAAGAAGTAATTTTATAATGAGAGGTGCACCTCCCTTAAGGTGTGTGAGTAAACATTGTCAGCAAAACATGCCCAGAGGGTTGTGACAAAATAAAATCACATGCAATAATTCTGCTTCTAAAGTCAAGCTTAAGTAGCACACAAATGTGTTACAGAAATAGGAGATTAAATGTGACATGATTGATTCTAAATCACCTAATAAAAGTAATATTCAAGGTGGCATATCAAAATGAGAAGGGAGATATGAAATTCCTGGAGGAAAGAATCCTGGAAGAAGATGAAGCTTTGTAAGCACCGCTGAGCATTTCACTGTACAATTTTCAGTCTTGTTTAGCAAAGCTTTTAGAGGGCCAGAATTCAAAATCATCAGACACATCTTGAAAATTCCATAGAAAATGCACAGAAATGCCTTTTGTAATACGACTTATTTAAATAACTTTGCTTGCACTGCTTTTTCTATAATGGATTGTTAACAAATACATGAAATGTACATAACATTCCATGTAATCAAATTTTTTAATAACAGGCTGTGAACTTTTTTGTCACTGTAAGAATAGACTCTTTTTACCACAGCTTCATTTCTGTTTACAACTCCACTCTGGTATTCTCATACCAGTCTTTTTGGAGGCTTGTTTTATAAAAGATGTGTGCTTTTTGAATGCTTCTATAAACATTTAGTCTGGCTTATGTCTCATCATCTCTTTGCTTGATGTAAATTAAGTTCTGCACACACATTTCAGCCCCTGTCAGATCTTAGTGCCCCTTTATGGATTAATTCATTTGTTGGTACCTAAGTTGGCTTTTGTGGTTGGATGTGAAACTTAGATTTGGAGCAGGGGGAAGAAAAAAATAATTTTTTAATAGTGCATCACTCCAGCTGTCTCTTTGGTCTTTTCTAAGATATCCAACTTGACTGAATTTTGCTGTAGGAAAGAGCTAGCTATCAATGAGTGTCCTAGTAAATTTTTTGTACCATGCCAAAAGTTTGAATTTATATGAAGATGGAGGGGTTATACTTTCCTACTTTGTGCACCAGCAGAAACTGAGTAATAAGCAGGCTTAGTGGAATATTGCAGAGGATGTTGTGTCACTGGAAAAGCAGTATATGATTTATTGTGAAATATAATTGCTTAATATATTTCAACTTTTATAGATTTAGTTTTTCTGTAGTTCATTCCAATTAGTTAAAAAAAGTAAATAGGTCTCAGAGTATTGCTTTTCCCCTGTCCCCAGTCCTGTCTTTTTATTTTATTTCTCTGTTTTTGGCATTCAGCAATATAATCTTTTCACATTAAATGAAAGTGAAATTATATAGTTTATTTTAAGAATATCCTTATTAAAGGCTTGAGTTTTTAACCTTGACCTTAATGTATAGTATTCAATGTCAAAGTGCAACTTCCTGCTTCCTTGAGTCTGTGGACAAATTAAAATACTCCCATAGATTGAATTGATCTAAAAGCTAGTGGCCTTAGCTTTGAAAATACTGATTTAAATAACTTTCATGATAAGGATTTATGTATTGAATTTTAAGGGGCTGATGTAATCTTCAACTGTTTTCTCCCCTGACATGCACCGATATACAGATTAAATGAAAGAATGTTTGTAGTTAGAAAGTTAACTGTTCAAACTAGGTGAATCAGTTAGAATTTAGTGCCACAAAGGTCTTTTTGATTTTTACCTCTTGGTGATTAAGATTTCTGAATTCTTTTGTTCATCTTCATTGATCATTTGATTTCTTAAAACCACCAGCAAATGTAAAGTTACTCTCTTAGTAATTTTGTTTCATTCTGTCTTCATCTTCAGTGTCCTTGTTTTTCAGGGTGTTTTGCTGTCATTTTTAACATACTTTTTTCCCAACCTGACAAAAGAGTAGAGAAGATAATAGAGGAGAAATTTTGAGACACACCCTGTGCAGTATATGGACTTATTTTGCATAAATGAAGCACGACAGTCTAATAAATTATTTTCTGCATATTCATGCTGTATAGCTGTAAATTGAAAAACAAATTGGAAGGCAGAACTTTGCATTATCTTAAGCATACCTTCTTTGTCATGTGCAATATCTAGCAAAATGAAAACCAAAATGTGTGAGATTTTGTATAATAAATTATAGTCAGAAAGGAAGAGCTATCATCTATTTTATTCTTTGATGGTTAATTATATTCTCAGAATAGTGTCCGTGTGTGACAATTAGTGGTGATACAGGGACAGAAGATTGTCTAAAGCCCTCATTTTAATTAAAAGTTTGGGATAATGTTGGCACAAGCTCTTGTGACATTGCCTTCTGCATCCACCAGCTGCAATATGTGCTACTGAGTATTTTTCTGCAGTGCCTGATCTAGCTCTGAGTTCTAGTAATTCTCCCATCTGTTACAAAATGACCTTGAAATTATTTTTAGGGCTTGGTGTTTTCCAGTCCTGAAAGTCGGATGAAGAGTAGTTCATTGCAGTTCCAGCCAATTTTGGTTGTGCTTGCACCTGGTACTGAATTAGTCTGACAGATCTGAAAGTAGCACTTGTCATTTGCAGAACCTCATGCTTGTGGGCTTTTAGATACATTTGGAGATTGCTGTATATTTTAGTCCTTTCCTGAAATATGTAAGGTGATATTTCTGCCTATAGCTGCTGCTGTTCATAGGTGCTTCCTACATGTGGTATTCCTGTATTCTTCCTAGCTATTTAAATCTCTTCTTTTTCTAGAAGTTTTCTGGATATTCACAGAGAAAAAACAAACAAACAAAGAAAAAAAACAAAAAACAAAACAAACAAAACAAAAGTATAAAGAGTAAGAATTTGGCTGAAAACATCTTTTTTTGTCTCATTACTAGAGATACTGTCTTAGTGCCAGAAGCCTGGATCTGTGTGGGACTTGCCTAGTTTCACACAGTGCGGCTGCCTTATATGGACACGAAAAATAAAAAGGTCAAAGGTGCCAACAAAAACCCATTTTGTATTTGACTTATAAACAAGATTCCTATTCCCCACTGTCCTCTCTGCTAGTACATCTGCCAGTGAACTAGCAGCAGTTACTCCATTCCTGCCAAATTGGGACTAAAAAGACTTTCAGTGATATTTTATGACTGAACGTTTGAAAGTTAACTTTGTCAAAAACTGTCTTTGCAGCTGAGTCATCCTGTCTCAAACAGAACTGGTGTTTTCCAGTCCCCATGTGACACTCCCCCATCAGAAAAGGCCTCATGAACCTTCCTGTGTGTGTTTTTAGATGTCTTCTTGGCTTCCTAAAATAGTGGAGTTTGTGTGAACATTAGAGGGTTTGAAGTTGTAAGTTAACAACTGGTTATCGAGAGCAGAGGGACGATTCACTGACATCCTGAGAAACCTCCTGTGACCTCAGAGCTCACCCTGATTTCAGCAGGGAATTTGGGTCTCCTGAGGCCCTTTCCAATGTGGGTGAGCCTGGAAGTGGCTGGAAAGGGTGTTCAGAATGATCAGAAAGCTTGGAACAGAAGAGAGACTCTGAGGATGATTTGATTGATGACAGTCAAGATGTGTGTTAGCTATGAATGAATTCTCCTTAGTGTTCTGTTCTTTGGGTTTTCACTTCTGTCCATGTTCATCAAGTGAGCCTTGGGAAATGGTGAAGGAGACATGAATGGGATAAAACTTGTGATCAGAAAAAGCAGGTTAGAAGAACAGAGATCAATGGAACTGAGGCTGGTAATTGAAAGTGTGTAATTCAGCAACAGTATATGAAAGAATAAACTTCTGAGACACTTCCTAGGGTATTGAAAAAGCAAAAAAATTACATATCTCTGATAGTGTTTTTTGCTGATGAATACCTAGGTTTCATCAGGAAACCTCTATGTACCTTTAGTATACTCATCTATTTTATAGATAGATATATATATCTCAGGCTGTATACTAATATATATAAAATGAAGAAGGGCAAGAAGGTGATTCTGCAAATCTGCTAATAAGGAAAAAAAAGGCAAGTCCCTTGACAAAGGGAAGACTCAAAGCTTTGATGGACAATATGGACAGTACAGGAGTATTCAGTGGATTTTTTTTGGCTCAGACTCCAAGGGCAAAGCCTGCTTTCAGACCCTTTTTGTGTGGCTTTGCATGACTGAAAATAAAGTAGCAGAGCAATAGGTTAAAGAGTCTGTATGTAAGTGGGATACACCCAGAGGCTTGGAGGATTTCAGTGGTGTGATTGCAAAGCTGGTGACTATCACCTGAGAAAAATCATAGTGGTCAGGGGAAATTTCCTGACAGCTGAACTCAGGCTGAGGGGTCTGTAGGGCAGTTGCTTCAGAAGACAAGAACCAACTCCTTTTGAAGTCTGTGTCCAGGCAAGTGGCTTACATGAGATAGGTCAGTCAGGAACCCAGCCTGAATTTAGCAAAGTCAGAGCATGCATGGTCAGCCTGATTGCTTTCTTGGTGAAATGACTCAAGATGTGTGCACAAGGTTGCTCCAGTCAGTTCAGGAAGACTTTGAGCCTTGTCTCCTGCAGCATTCCTGCCTAGGAGATGAGGAACCAAAGGGCTGGATAAGATTGTTAGGTGGGTTAAAACTGGCTGGGCCACTGCTGTTTCAGCAATCAGAGGCTCTGTGTGCAGGTGTTGACTGGTGCCAAGGAGAGAATCTTGGGGATTGTGAGGGAGCTGATGCTGTTGGAGTCTGGAGCAGTGACCAGCATGATGAGACAGAGCACAGTTGTAGATGACACTGAGTTAGAGTGAATCATTGATCAATTGAGTGTTCAAGGTCCAATCCAGACACATCTGGAGCTAAGGATAATCCATACATTTATATATTTGAAAGTATCTGGACTCAGATATACAATAAAAGGCTGCATTTCAGCTTATCTTGTCAGCAATGAATTCCTGACTTTTTTAATGTGTCATTAGTGGGAGATTGAAGCATATGCTAGGAGCACAGTTGACTTGGTATAATGGCTTGAAACAGTCAGTACACTCAGTAAAAATACAGAGAAAATAAATTTAAGTTAAGGAGGATATGTTGCTACAAGAGTAGTAATTCAGTGAAAGGTGCTGAAAGAAAAGGAATCATACTGGAGTGAAAAGGCTGAGGAAGTTTCATGGTTCAGGCTCTCAGAAGGAGAGGAGGTGAGAAATCTGAGCTGAAGACCCTGCTGGGATCCTGGGCAGATAATCTTCCAGTTTTCACCTTACCTCAAGAAAGACAAGTGATCTTTCCAACCTCATTGGTCTCATTTTTTCTTCCTCAGTCCATCTCACAAATGTTCTGAGTTCTGTCTGTTTAAACAAGTAATAAAGCCAGAGCACACAGACTGTAGTATTTCTGGAAATATTGTTGGGCTGGGAGAAAGGAATAATGCCTATATGTTTGTAACAAATATTATCTAATAGTTGTGTAGTATTTTAAAATAAAAATGTACACCAGTGGAATGAATAATAATAATCTTATTTGTAATTACTAATATGTTTAATCAATAATTTTTTCTTCATTGTTCATGCCTTAATTGTTGCATTTTGTAGCAGATAGCCTCAGAGGTGGTTACACTGACCGATGAAACAAGATTAGGAGATAGTGCCATATGTGGCTTTTCTATGATTTAGCAAGAATATCACCAAGATAAAAAACTCTAAAAAACATGTTTAATTTCCCTAGGTAAAGAAAAACCAAGTGACTGAAGTAGTAAGGTGGCAGATGCATCTCTTCATGGCAAATGGAAAACATATCTGTCATTAGTTTAAATGCAATCATCTGTGCAAATTCCAAAATTGTGCTTAAACCAGTTTTAAAATTCTGGTTGTCAGTGAAGTGGTTGGAGTTGGATGATCCACACTGCTCTCAGATTCTCAGCTGATGTAAATTGACTTTAAAGGAATTGGGCTAATTTACTCCTCCTAGGATCTGACACATTATTGACCAGAGTATAATTGAGAATTGCTGTGTCCTGCATTAATGTTAATTTTTTTTTTTCCCCATAACTGAAGGAACGTTTTACAATTTCTTTCTTAGAAAACTTACTTCTATTTATTCTTTCTCCCTTACTTCATCATCCAAACCCAGAGCACTGAATTTCTCAGTACACAACTTCAAAATCTCTCCTTTGAATCTCTTGAAAATCTTTTTCTCCTTGAAAATCTATATGTTTTGAGGTAGTTGACTTCATTAAGTATTTCCTCTCCTGCACCGGTTTATAGAAGCTATTTATCACTGAAACCTTAGGGGAAATCATTATGTTCTCTGCCTTTCAAGAAGCATTGGACACTGCTCTGTCTGATTCAATGAAGATCAGCTGTTCTTTTCCTTTTTCTCCTTTTCCTAAAGCTCTTTATTGCTTTATTCTGTTTTGAAAACAATGAAAGCCTTTCAGGCCATCAGGCTCTCGTTAGCAGATAACGCAGTTGAAATTGCAGAATATTAGACATTCCACAGGGATGAAGGGTAGTCTAAAAGAGGACGTTGTCAGAATGAAGCCAATAATCTTCAATCTTGTGTTACCTTTTATAATTGCATTTTTATTGACTTGTTGAGAAAACACATTCATAGACCTGACAACTGATGGAGTGCCGTGTATCAAGGTAATTGGTAGATACCACGTATCACTCTTGTTTTCTGATTGTGACTCTGCTCAGCTTGGAAGGAATGTCATGTAAAATATATTGCCACGAGTTCTTTGGTGATCTATGAGGAGACTTTTGATTATATGTGTTTGGGTATTTTCATGGTATTCAGGAGAAAAAGGGAAGAAAAATGCAAACATTTAAATGGTTCATTTTGATTCTGTCCAATCTCAGGAGTGACTTTTATTGCTCAGACACTGACATTCCATAGGTGCCAAGAGTGCAAAGAATATGCTCTTGTGTCATCTTGCTGGTATTTATTTGTAAGAAATGACATCACAGGCCTTGGGACAACTTGCCACCTAAAATATATCACCTAAAATATATCAAAATATATAAAAGAAAAATAGAAAAGAGATTGTAATTAGGCTGCCTTTAAAATTTGTGTAATTCCAGTGCTAGGGACTAAGCAGACAACAATCATTCTTTACATTTGGTATTTATGACCCACACCAATGCCGAAATGACAGATTTTTAGGCTTTTTTTTCCCATATGTTGTTATTTCAAAGTTGTGTCCTGTAAGGTTTCTGAGTTTTTTCAGCTGTTCTTGTCATATTTTTTCCTAGGTGTACATTCCAAGCAGAGTGGCTCTTGTGCTTCACAACACAGACATCCCAAAGTGAAGTTCTATGTACCTACCACTGAAGAAGCAAGTCACGAAGTGCTGATACACTGTACTAGTACTAAGTATAACAAAACTTGCTCTAAGGAGGCTTTCTGAGGCTGAGTATAGTAATATTAGGTGTTTAAAATGTAAGATTAATATTCACATGTAATTGCAGAGCTCTTGACTTGCTAGAACCTCTTTTGAGGAAGCTTTACAAAGAGGCAGAAAGGAAAACGTTGGGTTTGTAGTTCTCGTAGTACAAAATTACACTTAAGGTGTTGCAAAGCAGCAGGTATTCTCAATTAAATTGTTGTTTACAGAATTTTATCAGGAATGATAAGAGTGATCCTGCTCCAAAGTTTGTAATTTCCTATAATCCTCATTTTGATAGTGAATTAAAATATTCATTATGTATTAATGCTTCTTACTAAAAGTAAGTAGTTTGCTTAAATAAAACAGAAGTTTTTGGCTAAAAGGCAGCCTTAACGGTTTGTGGGACCTAATTTGAGGCTCCTCTTCTTCAATGAAGTCTAACATGGAATTAGAAATGTTTATTCAAAAGGATGAGAAGGTCCTCTGAGAGTCTTGTCCTTTGGCATTTTTTATTTAATTACAAATGCACATTTTTTATTTAATACAAATGCTCGGCAGCAAAACGAGCAGGCTGATGGAGTGGGGGCCTGCTGATGCTATTGTGTGTGCTGGCTATCTGCTCCCACCCAAATCACTTCGTCTGAGCGTCTCACTTGCTACAGCTGGACAAAAATGACACAACTCTCTTATTTAGATCACTAAAATGTTCAGTCAGAAGGGTCTTCCTGCAACAATACCACACTGGAAGAGGTACTTAAAGTGTAGTTCTTCCCTCTGTATTTATTTCACTAACATCAGGACCTCACAATACTGATTTCACTACTTCCAGAAGCTGCCTTTCAGCTCGGAACACAATGATGTTCTTGCACTTTTATAACTTTTGAAACATTGCTTCTTGTGAAGAAGCAGTCTCAAAATTCAGTGATCAAACTAAGGTGTTTTTTTTATTAAAATTAAGATAGATAATCATTGGAGTGCTGCTAAGATAATTCAAGTGAGTTCCTTCACGAGCTACAACTATTTTGTAAAGAGTAAGATTTTGTATATTTGAAAATGTATTGCAGAGTATTCTGGAAAATTAATACCAAATTAACGAGACATGCTTTATTTTGTTCCATTTATTTAAAAACATATTTGAATTGGTTCTGAAATGAATGTCTTTTGTACCAATCTGAATTTTCTAACTTTTAAAATAGCCAAAGAGGAAGATGTCCGTGACCATTTCCAAGTCATAATTTTACCCAGTTTCCTTTGTGAACCATTGTGTAAACTACTGAATAGCTGGTGCCAACACTGACAATCTATTCACAGTTCTTGGAATGCTTACTTGTGGCTTACTTCCTAAGCAAAATAAGGGATGGAATAATGCAGCATGATGGAAAACAGTCTTTTGCAGAGTTCTCACTGGAAGGACTTTGTGGACATCCCCAGTCTGATATGTTCTGTGTGGCAGAGAATGTTGTATTGCAGTTGGCTACATTAGGATCATGCTTCATTTTCCTCTACACCAGTTTGATCATTGTTTGGTTGTGAGCTAATAAAAGCATTCCTGTTACGCTATGACTTTAAATAAAATATACTGAACTGTTTTAGCAACTGGAACTGATTATCTTTTTTTTTTTTCCCCAGATTGTTTTCCTTGTAGTGAAATAATGAGCAACTTCTAATACATGTCATATTTACACTGTATTGATCTAATACATTTTATAGGGTGGTTTGTTTTTTAGGGTTTTTTTTGTTGTTTGTTTGTTTTTTTGTTTGTTTTTCTTTGTGTTTTTTGTTTCGGTTTTTGTTTGTGTTGTTGTTGTTTTACTGGCACCAGTTCCAGATTTCAAAATGTAATGGCAAGCATCTGTGTCAAACCTTTTTTCAAGAGAAGGAATAAATGTATGATGTGAAGTATAAACTGTAAAATCACATGCAAAATAAACTCTAAGGAGGAGAAAAAAAATGCATATATGGTTTCATTCCTTGCATTGTAAAATGATTTTACAGAAATCTTAACACTGAAAGATAGATTAGATTTTGCTCCATCCTAAAATCAGGGACTTATCTTGGTCAGAAGCAGTCATAATGAGATTGTTAGAATATTTGACTTATGCATATTTTCTTTAACATAATGATAGGTTAACAAAAGTGCACAAACAAAATTTGCAAGGTGAACATGTAAATACAGAAAGCATGTAATTAGGGCTTTTTGGAACCTACTTCTGCATTGTAATGGTGAATGTGCTACTATCTTGCAAGACTGGAAAATTCTCCCTTTCAATATCCCATGGAAAGCAAATGTTTTCTCCTGCTCTTTTACTATTGACGGGTAATGAAGAGAAATTCAGCTTTCACCTTCCTTCTAGTGACACTGTGATTGCAACCAAGGCCCCTCCTTACAGTCATGTGCTGAGGCTGTCACCATGTCTGGTTGAAGCCTGGCACATTCTGAGAAGCAGATGGGCTCCAGAGCTCTTTTGCTTGGCCACATCTCAAATCAGCTCCTTCAGGGAAGTGGCTGAAGTGGTCCGTGGTGATACATCCCCAGACACAAAGCTCACCACAGATATTCAGACACAGTGAAGGAACTCTCTTTAAAGATGTACAGGACTGATAAGGATTTACATTTCAACATTTGGAAATGCAGAGCTCCCTGTCACCTGGGAATTCTTAGGAGCCCTGGCCCCAGAAGTTGTTGCTCCACAGTTTCTCTAACACACCATGAGAACTCAAGCTCACCTTTACCTGCCATTTTATCTAAAGATTCTTCCCTCTTATCTAAAGACCTTCCCTCTGTCTTGCACTGTGTGTGTGAAGGGTTCTTTGTACTTAATAATTCAAGTTACTCTCCAGGCCAGGTGCTTATTTTGATAACAGGCATCCAGTACTCTGGTGTGTTCTATGAGCAATGAGTTTTAATTTCCCTGCTGTTTTCTCCTCCTCCCACAACTCAAGCTGTACTGTCCTGAGGTTTATTTTGAAGATGAAGAATGGAGTCATTATTTAAAACTGGTGAGTACTTCTGGAAAACAAATTTAATTGGAAAAAAATTTTCAAGCTTTCAGTTTTGTTTTGTGTTTTTTTTTTTTCCTATGAAGTTTTTCTTGCTCATTCTATTCAATTTAGTAAAGACTTTTTTAACCATATGCTCTGAAAGACAGGAATGTGGTGCTGGTAATACTCTGCCAAAAGGAGAGCAGCTGTGTGAACAGTAAGATACCAGATAAGCAATTGTGTGGTACTTGCAGGTACTGCAGGGTGATATTTTTGTGTATTAAACTGTCACAATTCTGCTTTCAAATGATGTTTTAAGCATCTTGAAGTAGTTTTAGCTTTCCCAGTTTTTTTCATGACTCCAGGTTCTTCACAGCCTATTAATGGTTAAAGAAAGAATTTCCTGTCTATTTAAGTCTCATTTCTCAGAGCTTAAAAGTAACTCAGTAGTTAAGTAGCAAAGAGCGAAGGTTAACTGAATGAACAGCATAAAGTGTTTCCTTTAACTTCAATAAATGTGGACATTCTCTTCAGCATATGTTGAGGTATATGGTTTTCCTGTCTTCTGATTCATAATTTAATTTTCTAGGATTTTAAGTATTTTATCATTGACTGATGTTTCCAAACCAGACATGTTGTCATTGTTGAACTACTGCTACAGAGATGAAGCAGTGTTTTACAAATTTTTATATATCCTCCCTTAGCTGGGATCCCAGTTTCATAAGAATCAGCCTCTAAGTGGCATCTTTGTAACAATTAATTGGAAGGGTTTTGCCAAGGAAGATTGTGCACATGTGTGTGTTTTCACACCTCAGAGTTTATGGTGCAAGTGTTTTAAAAGGGTTAAGAGTGTAATTTGCTGTGATGGATAGCTGGTTTTATGCCAGTCTTACTTTTTAATTCTGTTTGGTTTTCTAGATTTTTTTAGAGTTTCTTTCAAATTCCTGGGGAGAGAAACAGTGTCTTTCTGAAAGTTTCACAAGCATTTAAGGAAAAAGAGGGAAATCCAAAAGTTTTGTTCATGTTTGCCTTTATATAGGGAGAAAAAGGTTTTTTTTCCTTCATGGAATGTTTCCTTTAAGTAGGCTTTTTCAGTTTTTGATTTATGTGAAAATAAGTTGCAGTAGTAATGATAAACTGACATGTGACTGCTCTTCTAAAAATAATTATATAAGTTGTTGGGTAAAAATAACTCTAGTTGAATACTTCAAAAATACTCTGCTTATGGAAAGGTAGAAACAAAAGCTAATGATGACTCATTAGATGAGACAAATTATATTTGTCATGCCTGTGAGTACAATCTGTACCCTGTAAATATAAATAAGTCGTGGCTATTAATGGTAAATTAAAGCCTAAAATACATTAGGACAAAATGTAAGAATTTTTAGGTATTAAAGAAACCAGTCTGAGCTTAGCTGCTGGTTTTGAATATTTACAAAGGTATTTTGAACACTGAAAAAAAAAATCTATGACTCCAAATATAAAAAAAAAACCTGACATCAAATTAACTCCAAATTTTCAGTATTGTTAAAAGCTAGAAGCAAACTTTCTCAACTTGCTTGTTTCTTGTGGCTGTGCCTCACAGATGACAATTTAAATGTATAGAACAAGAACAGTCTGTTACTGAATCTTCAGTGCATTAACTTTACATTGTTCTCTCTTTGCTGGTGGTATGAGGTTTATGACAGAATAGATGGAGTGCATTTGGGAAGAGAGGTGTGCCTGCAAGCACTGAAGAAAGCAAGCTGCCAGTGCTGTAATGGGTGTTGTGGTTTAACCCTGGGCAGCAGCCAGGCCTGAGGCAGCCACTTGCCCACTGCCCACCCCATGGATCAGGGAGAGAATCAGAAGATGCTTTTACAGCTGGAAAACTCATGGGTTGAGATATAGACAGCTTAACAGGAGAAGCAAAAGCCATGCACACAAACAGAGCAAAACAAGGCATTCATTCCCTGCTTCCCATGGTTGGGCAGGTGTTCAGCCATCTCCAGGAGATCAAGGCCCCATCACACATAGCAGTGACTTGGGCATCACTCCAAACTTCCCCCCCACTTCTTCCTTCTTCCCCCCCACCTTATACAGTGAGCAGGATGTCACGGGGTCTGGAATATCCCTTTGGGCACTTTGGGTCACCTGTCCTGGCTGTGACTCCTCCCAAAACCCCAGGCACCCCCAGCCTCACTGCCAGCATGGCAGTATGAGAAACAGAAAAAGCCGTGGCCCTTTGTGAGCCCTGCTCAGCAATAACAGAAACATCTCTGTGTTATCAGCCCAGTGTTCAGCACAAATCCAAAACACAGCCCCATACCAGCCACTGTGAAGAAATCAAACTCTACCCCAGCCACACCCAGCATGGCAGGGCTTGGGGGCAAGCACCCAGCTCTTCTGGGCTACTGGGTCAGGTGGAGCAGGTCCATGCTAAATTAGTATTGCTAAATCAGTTTTGGCTGTTGCTGCATGATGTCTGTGTAGTGTAGCCTTCTGTTCCCTATCCTGTCCTCACTCACCCCTTGCTGGGGAGTGCCTGGACATCTCCCTGCTCATGGAAAGCTGTGAATGAATTCCTGTTTCTGCTTTGCACCTTTTGCTCTTCCTGGTGAAGTATTCTCACCTTCTTCTATTCCCTCATCCTCCTGGAGGAGATGGGGCTAAACAAGCACATTGTGAGGATGTTTGGCTGTTTGCTGGGATCAACCCACCACCCCCAGCAAAAGCTGAGTGAGCTGTCCACCTCGGAAGGAAATAGTCTGGCAGGTGGGAAGTAGGTGAAGTCACTTGAAGTAATTTGAAAATCATTTGGAATAAAAGGGTGGAGATCAATCCCAGCTTTCCCTAGCTGCCTTTCACAAAACACTGAATGTGTATCTTGTGTTTACTTGGGTTATAGAGTGAGACAACTGGAGTAGCTTAATCATCCTGCTGTTGAGGTATCACCTGTATGAAGGAACAGTCAGTCTATATATTCACTCCATTTCATGCTGAAAGTTTGTGGACCTGTTCTTTTGCAGCAGTAGCATATGATTATACCTGTAGAAAAGTGTAAAAATATTTTTCTGCTTCAAAATGGAAGTTCTGATGTAAAATCTTTCATTAAAGTTTATTCATTATTAAGGGGGAGGATGGGATAGAAGCTTCTAGCAGAAGACTAACTTCTGGTTCAGTAAAGATATGCAAAATTAACTAAAATGAAAAGCTGATCTTTAAAATGTATGGAATTTTAACCATTTCTTTTGCACAAAGCTCCTTTCAGCTGTTGACTGCTGCTTCTTCTTGTTGTTTTTTTTTGTTTTCTTTGTTCCTAACACTGGTTTTAGAGCAAAGGCAACACTGAGTCTTTCTGTATTCTGTATCCTGTGTCACTACACTTATGAATGTTTGAGGCAATCCCAGTTATCAGTCAGAAGGTGGGCTTAGCCTTACTTTGGGAGTTTCTAGGGTGGGGATAAGAGAAGGGACTGAAGATGTTTCCTGGTTTTGTTAAATACCACTTAAATTCCTGCCTTTGCAATTCCACTAATCATTTTAAATCTTTGACTGTGGCATGTCTTTGTTAGAAAACAGCTAGCCCCATGCAGCACCAAAAAAAAAGCATGTCTTCAGACTGGCATGGGAAAGCAAATTATGCAAGCACATCATGTCCAAAACTGAAATGAATTTTTCTATCCAGGTTTGTTTATCTGAAGGGACTTAGTGATGGTCACTTTGTGAAATGGAGCGGATGAGCTGTGTGGCATAGAGAACAGGTTTTTGTGCTGAAAAAAAACAATTTTCCCAAGGCAAAAAATATTCCAGTATTTCAACTATGTTTTGGTTTTTTTTCATTAAAAATATTGGATTCTGACAAGTGAGTATTTTCATAGGAAGAGATTTGTCAAAAACCCTTCCAGAACAGTTCCATAGAAATAAAAATACTATTCAAAATCAATGCTTACATTATGTGCAAAGCATGGACACTCACAGCTTTAACTC